TAGACCTGTCACACAACAGGATTCGTGGGAGCATCCCCAAGCAGGTCACCGAATTGAATCTGCAATTCATGAATGTGAGTTATAACCGGTTGTGTGGGAAGATTCCGGTGGGTGGGACTCTGCAGCAGTTTAGTGTGGATTCGTTTCTACACAATAAGTGTTTATGTGGCACCCCACTACCCAAATGTAAATAATTAGTGTGGATTCTTTGGAACTTTGTCTCTTTACAATTTTACATGCTCTGGTGTAAAAGTATGTTTAAATTTTATTTAATGAATATTTGTAATTTTTTACGTACGTTGTATTTTTTATCTGTAGTGCAGACGAAAGAAATTAAAATTTAAAACCTCAAAACAAAATAAAATAAAATCCAAAGCAAAAATAAATGAAAATTTTCTAATTTGCCTTTTGTATGGTGCTTCCATACAAATGAAATTGTGTTGATGTTGGATGCTGCGACTTACGAGGCAAGGTTTTTAAAATCAAACTGGACAGGAACCGTTACGGGTCTGTCCCAGGTCAAATGGTCCAACCATTCGAACTGAATAAATAGTTCATTCTGATAGAAAAAATTAAAAAAATAAAAAAACAAAAATGGTTAAAAATTGTTGTTCGAGTTGACAATTCAACCAGTTTTGGTCAGTGGTTTATTTACCAAATTAATGGTATTTGGACAAAAAACAGTTCTTGAGTAAAACGGAAGGTAACCAGTTTTCAATTTTTTCAGTTCATTCGACCCGTTCCGGTTTGGAAAACATCGCAGCAAGGAGATTAGAACTGGAAATTCTATTGATGACCTAGGCATGGGTGTTGATCTTCTAAATACATACAAACATTAGAAGCCCCAAAGTGGATTCCAAGGGGACAAACCCGCCAACGGGTCAAGTTAGTAGGGTTGGAACTTGGAAGTAAGGGCAAGTTGACCCAGCCTGTGAATCCAATCCAATCCAACCCGAAAGAACAGGATTTGATCGGTGAAATATATTTTAAGAATATTTTTAAGTAATTAAGACGAAAATATTTTATATTTTAGGTTTACACATTGGCTTAATGTTCTTATTTAATCCAAACAATTAATATATATTTATGTTCAACAACTCCAACTATAGATTAAAAGGAATAATATTAAAAATTAATTTTTTTATAAACTAATAGAATAAATAATCACTAAAATGCACATTTTTATCAAGAAATGGCTTTTAATATCAAGAAATTTATAAAAATAAAAATAATAAAAATAAAATAATTATTTTAATACTTAAAATTTATAAATTATTAATTAATATTTTAAATAGCAATATATTTATTATCTTCAATATTAAATATTGTTTATAAAATATTTAAATATAATATAAATTAAATTTATCAAATCTAATATAGGGAACTAAAGCTGACGTATTCATTGTAATTGGTTATAGTCCGTTACACACAGTTGAGACTTGGGAGAAGAGAAAATCAGGCCCATAGGTTCCGACTTGTATGTTTTTCAAGTTTCAAACACTGGGCTCACAATTAATTATATGGGCCCTAACTAGTACATATAATCTGACCCAAAAGAAAGCATACATTTAATTATATCTGTATAAGTATTTTAAACATTTTCATACAAGAGAATTTTAATAAAGAAGTCTATTTACATTTTACAATTATGTGAAAAAGTTAAGAAATGTTTGTAATTATGAAACTTGAGGGAAGATTTCAGCAATAACCAGAGAAAGCCAGGGAGACTAAAACAATTTACCCTAAAAAACATAAAAATGTTGGTGGATCTGTCTCATTCTCTATGCTTATCGCCTCATCCCATCCCATGGAAATCGACAATATCTACGACACTAGAAATTGAATACGACCGAAGCACACAGACTTCGATTAAAAGACGAACGAGGTCATCTTAGTTGACTACTACTAGCCCACAATTTCCATTTATTTATACACACACGTAGGACTCTCCCTTTTGTCGTAGAAACAAAACTCATATCCATCTCGATTAGAGAAATGGATACTCCTCACCGTGGCGCCTCTTTTCTCTCTGTTCTCTTACTCTTCCTCCTCGTCTCTTGCTCTCTGCCATCTCTTATCTCCGCTTCCTCTTTCTGCAACCCATCTGACAGAAGAGCGCTCT